TTAACACGTTCGAGGACAGAACGAGATTATACGTCATCGTTCGAGATGTTAATTCGGCACAACGTACGATGACGTTCAAATAACATTTAAATTATACGGCAGAACGTTCATTTCCGATGAAAGTTCAAGTAAAAATCCTTTTGAATGTATCTTGTGTCACAACACATAAAATACCCAACACTGTACTGTCACGTAGGGTAAGTTTAGAACTATTTCAAATAAGTGCCGTTGATAGAGTGCGGTTACGGTATTCACATATGCACAACGTATTTATACGTCCCGCGCTCCTACATTCAACGCGGCTGTGTCACTGTGTATTATGTGTTTAATGCAAATTAATGATTTTACAGTGTGAAATTGATGTTTAATAGGTTATTGTATGTTTTAGACGGATATAAGCGCAAATAAGGCATATGATAAGCATGTTTGATGATTCCGACACCTCCAACGAGGCGTATCATTACCAAGATGCATATACACGTTGACGTGATAAAACGGTTGTGTCATGATATGTTTAAAACAATATTTTTGCATGGGACACTACGTACTGATACGTCGTATAATTTTGTATAGACATTTACTGTGTCATTCTGAAAACCCGACTCAAGTGGTAGCGTCCTCGAACGTGTTAAACATCAAACTAAACAATAAATAATACCGCGAGGACACCGATGTCCGCACACCTCGCATTTGATACCTTCGAAGTGTATAAAGTCTAATTAAAATTTAATGTATGCCGTGAAGCCTTTGACATAAAACTTAATAGCGTTAATCTCAGTGATAAAAAAAATATTACAGTTTTTCCTACAGTATAAGTACCTACATATAACGCAGTTACAAACCAAACTTAGGTCAATATTGTTCAGGTAACTTACCTTCTTGAAGATTTAGGTCACATAAAACAAAACTTAGAAAGCTTAAAAACACAAATACTCTATAAACATTTGCACCCATATCTTACGGCGACTCGGAGCTAAATGATAAACACTAAGCCCATACTTGCATAAAAACAAGTTTATTCGTTATAATACCTACATGATTATTATAGTTAGCTGCTTCATTTCGTATTATAATAATGTAGAATGTAGGTAATTTGAACAGTTTAAATTTAGATTTTCCTTTTACGTGATTTATGATTCCTTGTTTGATAAACATCGGCTGTATTTTATTTTATTTATGGATCCTTTAAGGCAGCTTTCGTAACCGCAAACGTCTGGTTGTCCTACCTAATTACCATAATCGTCTCATCAGATTTTTTGAGATTGTTTATTTATAATCGATTTAAAAAAAGAAAAAAAGGAGATTTTCTGTTTGACCTACATGTCTTTTTGTGTTTGTGCGTGATTATCTCGCGATTGGCTGCAACAACAAAAGAAACAGTGGGATACTGAGAGCCGTGTTATTATATGGCAAAGTTGCCTTAGGAAAAATACTAAAAGGAGCTAAAGTCATTACCTATTTTTATTATTTCTAAAAAAAGAAAAATGTTGTGTCATAACATTTATTGTTGTGTAGCATTTAGCCACTTGTCAAACAAAAGATTGTCTTTTTTCTTGTGTTCTTTTGTCTCCTCAGGCCAGACGATGCTCTCGATCCAGGGTACGTAGTAAGAGACCCTGGTGTACATGCCAGGTGAGCCGAGGATGCCGCAGTCCTTGCCGAATGACGTCACGCCGACCACTGTGTACTGACATTTGAACTGGTTCGTCTGGAGGGGACCACCGCTGTCACCCTGGAGAATATAAAAATATTAAGGTAATATTGCACTCAACAGAAATAAGGATATTCTTAAACGTTATTAAAAATATGGTTAATCCTCATTTCATTGCAATTCGAGGATTTTGGGAAATGATAATTGATATCATTTGAAGACTAATGCAAACCAATTTAGAAAGCAGAGTGTTCGCTTAACTAGTTCAGAGTCCTTCTTTGCGATACTACGTGCGTACCTCACAAGTATCAATTATCGTTTGGTGGTTTCCGTAACACATCTGTTTTTCATGATCGTATCCATGCTTCAGATGTCTGTGCAGTGGGAAAAGAGTCGCACATTCTGTTTCTTCAAACTCCTGGAGAGTCACCTGTAATGAGAGCATATAAGTAAATATTAGAAGCTTTTTTAATATTATCGTGTGTAAGTATACTTACTACTTGCAAAGTATCAGCTAAATCCTTCATATGACCCAAACGGCCCCAACCAGAAGCATCAGCCGTGAGTTCTTTATTCTTTCCTGTATCTAGACATGCAGGCAGAAGATTTTTGCCAAAATTTATCCTGAAATTATAGACTATAGATAACAATGCATTTGTACATACGAGCTAATAAAATAATTGCGCATCTTTGTACATATAAGCAAATTTTACAAGGCGGGTCTAACACAGTTCCCTGTGGAACACCATTAATGTATTAGTATTGAATTAAGAAACAGCTGTAACTGATATTGATTTTGTCAGAGAAATACGAAAATATTATTAGTTTTCATCATTTATAATAAATATAGTAATGATAAGTCTTTAGTTTACTGACAATGTATGATAGCATCTTTATAAAACGCTCGTGAAATGTAAGAGAAACCATATTAAAGTTTACAAGCTTATTAAAATTCAAACGCTTACTCAGTTTCTGTCTCCAGAAGTGCAATATCATGGTATTTGGAAGGAGGATTGTATTCAGGATGGGGAATTATTCTTTTAATATTATGTATGTTCCACAATTCCTTCGGATCAGTGCGTTTTAGTAGACCAAGTGCAGCATATGAGACGTTGCCCCTGGAATTTACAAACAACAACAAAATTAAAAATATGAATCGACCAGTGTAACAAGTTCACCCAATATAATGTGAAGTAAGACTTACAAAGCTCTGGAAGATATGCAGTGTGCAGCAGTGAGTATGAATCTCTCACTGATCACAGTTCCTCCGCAAAGCCATTGCGCCGATTTTTGTTCGTCTCCGTATCCTAGTAAAGCCTAAAATGGAGAACAGCAATTTAATATACTGAATTTACACTCTCAAACGTCATAATATCTTTTTAGGTAAGCTAGTTATTCTAATCAATGAACTTATGTTAGCATAGCATAGTAGTATTACTACTTATTGTAAACTTTTATAGGGTCTTAGAGGTAGCTACCTCAAATCTGATTGATTAAATAAATAAGAAGAAACCTGAATGTCTTACCATGTGAGGAAATTCCCATCTTTGTGCCTCTCTTCCACCAGTAGCTAATGCTGTATCCAACCGGACCATATAACATTTTCTATTTTCTTTCCAGAACTTTCGCACTCTGAAATTTCCTTGACCCCGACACGGGTACGGTAGAATCTTTAAATAATCCAGACATTCTAAAAAAAAAGACAATTATAAAGGAGACAACGAATATTCATAAAAAAAAAATATTGTTTTAATTATCTTACTAGACCAAGCTACTGGGCCTTGATTATCTTTCGGAATCCCCAGAGGTCCTATAGAAGTATGACGTAACCTGAAATAACGAAAAACAAAGACAATATTAGCCTTCTCTTTAAACCACCTGTCAAGTAGGCATACATCTTCTTTCGTACGTATTGCAAATCATAATTTAATATGAAGAAGTGAATTTGAAGCTAGTCTCATTAGTTATTACCTATAACACGAATCTATTGGGTCATCGACATATATTTCTATTTATTATTACATGATTAGCCCCCTTCTGGTCAGTCATTTTCTGATCAATCTGAACAATCGTTCATAAAAAATAAAAACCTGATGGATGTCTGTTAACTTAAAGGGCTAATAGGCCTTGTTACTTACGGTTCTGCATTAGAAATATCACAATCAGTACAGCACACTACAGGTTCCTCGTTCTTATATGAACAGATATCTGGCAGCTCTGGGTAGTCATATATTTTATAAGGTGTCTTGACGTATCCCGCATTGGCCTGGAAACGACGACGGTCTACTAAAACTACTACGGTCTTCTTATAATATATTATGTCGCTACATTCACATCAACACGGCCTCACAGAAAACCGACGTAAAACAACGCTTGCTTTTTTTATAGATACTTTATAGGTTTACGTTTGACCACCATCTCGCCTGATGGTGCACGATGATGTGGCCAACGATGGAGCACGCCTACCTATGAGCAACCTGTTTACTCAGGACTTGAAGACACCCAAGTCATATTTGACGGGAAACACAGACTCTTTATGTTTCGTTGTGTGAATGGGGCTACAAGAGGGTAAATTAGCCCCAATTTCCCCAATCCTCGAATCGCCAACAATCCTCAAATTCCTAATCTCCAATACGTAGGTAACGCACTTATAACACACCTCTTCTGGTGTCTCGTGTGTCTTTGGGCGGCGCCGATTGCTTACAATCAGGTAACCCGTCTGCTCATTTACCGGCTTATTCCATAAACATGCCCGTGACAATTTTGCATAAAATGATCAGCCATTGAACTTGGTTGATAAATGAGAATGATATGACTGTCCATGTCCATGATTGTGTCTTATAGGAGTTATGGCGGTTTTGAAAGGTAGTGGCGGGTATATCTCATAAAAAATCTGGTGGTGTACCGATACTTACATAAAGGTAACTCAACGATGCAGAGGGACACCGAAATATTCCTACGCACGTTCCATTTAGACCATCAGTTACGCAAGGTTCATCTGTAACATGGCAACTCTCGTCTGTATTAATTGTCACTTAAATTGCTGAACATAGGCCTCCTCCTAAAATTCTAGTAATACAAAACGTCCACTGCTGAACATAATCGTCCTCTCAAGACTTCCAGATCGATTGAATCCGTCACCATCAACCACATAAGATAGACAGATTATTCGATGTTTTTATAATAACTATCGTGATACATGGTTATCCGATAGGTAAAGATCGCAGAAAGCCCCTGAATGCAAGGCGATAAGGCGAAATAAGATGCAGAAACCAAAAAGGTTAAGTCAACACGTGTTTAATAATTAACGGCTTCCACAATCATCCAATCAAAGAATTTACCTTTCTAATAATTTCTAATTTATTAGAATTTACCTTGATATTTTTCTATCTCAGTTTTCTATTGAGATATAACAATTTAATCTTCGTATGCTCCGTACATATCCTAGTAGCGTCAAAATGATTGACATGTATGTGTATTAAACATCAAACTAAACAATTAATAATGAATCACAGTGATTAAAAATATATTATAGTTTTTCATATAGTATAAGTACCTACATATAACGCAGCTACAAACCACAGGTATGGAAACTTAGGTCAATATAGTTCAGGTAACTTACCTTCTTGAAGATTTAGGTCACATAAAACAAAACTTAGAAAGCTTAACAACACAAATGCTCTATAAATGTTTGCACCCATATCTGACGGAGACTCGGAGCAAAATGATAAACACTAAGCTCATACTTGCATAAAAACAAGTTTATTCATTATTACCTAGGTACATGATTATTATGGTTAATTAATGATAATAGATGAGAATCGTGATGTATCCAGATATGATTATAGTTAGCTGCTTCATTTTGTATTATAATAATGTAGAATGTAGGTAATTGAACAGTTTAATCTTTGATTTCCTTTTACGTTGTTTATGTTCCTTGTTTGATAAACATCGGCTGTATTTTATTTCATTTAGATAGGTATAGATCCCTTTCAAACACCGAGCGGTCACCGGTGACCGCAACTTATTATTCTTTATTTGTTTCTATAATGACGGTACGGTAACGAGAAACTGTCAAACACCGCGAGGACACCGGTGACCGCAACCTATTGTTCTTTAATTGTTTCTGTAATATGAGTTAAGGCAGAGGCAGCTTTCGTAAACGGAAATGTGGTTGTCGTACCCAATTACCATAATCGTCTCATCAGATTTTTTGAGATTGTCTATTTTTGATCGATTTAAAAAAGGAAAAAAGGAGTTTCTCTGTTTAACCTGCATGTATCTATGTGTGTTTGTGCGCGGTTATCTCGCGATTGGCTGAACCGATTTTGATGCGGTTTTTAGAATAGTTTTTTTGTTATACTTAGGAGATAGTTTCAACTGACTCCAAAAAAGAGAAGATTAAGTCTGTTTTTTACACGTATCTTTAAATACAAAGGAAAGTTAAACAAAGGAAACAGTAGCATACTGAGAGGCAAAGTTGCTTCAAGGTACCTAAATACTACGGTCAGGCGACTAGGGCGCCGCGAGCGAGACGCGCATGATCAATAGAGACAATGTCAAAAAAATAGGTGCCTATGTGTAATGTGCTTACCTAAGCCGCTCTTTAAGATTAATTGCGCCTATGTATATACCTTTTATCCCTCATTTACAATACATTTACTATGCTCTAACAATCGCACGACCAAATTAGGAAGTAAGGGGATTTAGTTCTCACAAAGGTGCCTCAACCGCTTCATCATCATTAGCTAGCAAATTGTCAACTAAACTAATATAGCCCTAACCAATTAACCTCGTACATTATTTTTATTGTGATCGTACTTAATTAACTACCTGAAAATAATATATAGACACAATATTTATTGACCGTTTTTACGATTATAAAACGTTTTAAGATTTCAATAGAAAAGCTAATTGTAGAGGTATACAACAGTTCGGTGACATCCATCCATAGCCATTTAAAAAAATGTGTATTTGTATTTGAAAACGTTTAGTTAGTGCTGACCATTCTAAGTGTTCGAGATAATGTGACATTACTGACAGTTGGTATTTGACAACGATACCTAGTTAATGTCAAAAATTGTGAATTGTCAGTTTGGTTGGTTCGGATTGGATGTGCATTGTTGTTTAATGTTTATTGTGGTGAAAATATTTCTGCTTATAAAATAAATGCTGTGTTTAATTAAAAACAACGAACGGATAATGATGTTTTGACGATCATACTTCTAAATGAAAGTTTTAGAAAACCTATTCTTATTATTTGACTAAGGAAATACGGTATGTATGTTTTTTGTTTATGATTCATACGAACAATAGGTTTTACGTTTCGGTCACATAATGTAACGTTTATTATACATTCCCAGACATATTCGTAATGTTAAAACCTTGATATTCTCTTTAAAAAGACCTTAGAGATTCCCGCTACTACAAAATAGTAGCAAATAATAGATTTTGATGATGTCACGAAAATAATTTAGGTCAAACAAGATGTTTAGCAGAGATATCTCCTCTAATTACAAGTATTGAATAAATTTAACAGATAATGGTGACCTGTACTTAGTTATTTTGTGACTATTTGTATTGACCTATTTAGAATTATATATTAATATTGTAGTTTATGACTCTTTTTTGGATCATAAGTAATTAATTCTCACATGAAAGCTACTTCAATTATAAATTTTCACAAAACTTCCTTATACAAGTAGGTAGTAGTGTCTTAAATATTTTTAAACATTAGATTCAGGTCTTATAATATTCTAATTTGCCTGCATACACCCAATTATTATACACCCAAACTTAACTCAACAATCACATTTATTGGTGAAAAGCATTTGAAAATCCATTCAGTAGTTTATGAGATTATCTTCTTCATACAGATAAATTAAAGGAGTATGTTTTTTATAATGTTATACATAAAGTTTACTTCACATTAATATAATGAAGATAGATGTACTTAGAAATTCAATCCGAGCAATTTTTGAAAGCAATATAATTTGTAGTTGAGATGGACTTCAAAAAAAGAGGGTGTTGAAGTTGGTTTTTTAAATGTAGTTTATGAAAAAATTATTCATACAGCTGTCAGTAATTAAATGATATGTGGTTTCTAGCATTATGAATCATCTTATTTAAACTAAATACAAATTGTTTACACATTATATAGTGCAGATGTTCTCAGAATGTATGTGGTTTTGAATTACATTCAAACAATGAAAAAAAAATTACATTTGTTTTAATACAATTTTGCTTTGCACGTAGATTCTAATGTCTGTTTTCACAAACCACACCTAAACTATCTCTTAACTAAGATTTGCTTAGCACTTGAAGTTATCTTATTTGTTCCTTCAAAAGTATTCTCTAAACATCGGAAATAAGGTCTATAATGGAGTAGGTGCAGAGCAGTTAACAGTCACCGCTTTGGGTCTTGGCAGCCAAATTAACCCTTTATTTATACTGTTAAGACTTCTACAATGGCTAATTTCATGTAGTTACATAGATAATTATATGAATGAACTCAATAGATAACCTATTTTGTAATAGGTTGCACGCTTTATTATTTTTATACAATACCATCTGTCCTATGCAAATACCTATAAGAAAGTTATTCACTGATTTCATTTCGGTGCCTACCTAGGCCGCTCTTTACTGATTGACACTGATTTCCCTAACTGGCTATTGTTCATGTAAAGTTAAAAACATGCAAAATTTGTTTCAATGTCATTGTTCTCAATACTTTATGCGACCCAGGAACCAACTAATGATGTATCCCATTGACAAATACAATAAATTATTACAAATATATTACGCTACAGTTTGTCCTACTATATTAGCCCTTTGATAATTCTTTTTGTGTTGGTCATCCCATTTACCACAGAAACAACATCACAGTATGGTCAATATAACCGCAGAGAACCTAATGGGTTACCGGTGCTCCGGCTCAAAGTGTAGGATTAGGAATGGGGTGGTTTTTAGTCAAGAAGAGTCTGACACTCCCTAACGCCTCACCCAGGCGGGAGCTGGCATTCGATGATTTTCCCCCTTTAAAAAAAAGGTCAATATAAACCGAACTGGGGGTAGAAATATTCAGAATTAACTACTAACTATCTAAAATACTCAGACGTTAGAGGTATTATGAGGCTTAATAAACAAAAGAAATTCACCTACCTAGGTATTGGTTTGTCTTTTAACCCATAAATTACCAAGCGGTCACCGGTGACCGCTTTCTACTAATATTACATTACATTATAGACCTTATTTGTAATGTTTAGAGACTACTTTTGTATGACCAAATTTAGGGGGTGGATTTCAACGGGTTAACTATCTAATCCTCTTGAACTTGAAAGGCTTCTTTCTTATAGTTATAATCCAATAATGTAATCAGAAAAGATAAAGTGTAAAGAGCCTTAATTAATGAGTGGAATGTGGATTGCTATGTTGCCAAGTTCACACAGGATTCATTACTGATAGTAGATATCTGTATTATATTTTATCTTGTTTTACATTTTCTTTGTATTTAATGGATGTATTAAATATTAGCTTCTGGTAGCCCCTTGTTACTCTCAGATCAATATTGTAATTTTCTAGATAACTTGTGTTAGAGGGTGGACACTCTGTGTAAAGGTCAGACATTCTGTGCTTAAAATGATCAAAACATGGGACACCAATACATGTGAAACATTCATCCATTCATCCACCATCAGTCTGTGACAATATATCAGTGGACTGTGGGCCTCCTAAGAGGACTTGTCTGGCAGTTTGAAAATTGCATTTTAAAATATTCAGATTTTCATGACAGCGCTCCAGCTCAGCCTCAATCAAATGTGTAATCCCTCAGTCAGCTACTTGTACATATAAATAATAATAATAATAAATTATTGTAGCTGTAACACACAATTATAATGTTTATAACAATTGTTTTATTACAAAACAGATGTGACAACTGGCAGTTATCACATCTCGGCCAGTAACTGGGGTGTTCCCCAAGTGATAGTACTGTGCTATCACTGCATTGTAATACGCCTACCAATATCAATTTAATAATATAGAAATAAAATAATATGTGCAAACATTCATATAGTTATGGAAACTAGTTTTTTTCTTCTTGTCCTCTATATATCTTCTGATTTATTTATTTATTCATTCAAACCATGCACTTACTGGCTTACAGTGGGTACCAAAACGCCAGTAAGCTAGTTAATTAAAATAAGAAAAAAAAATTTCATAAAAATAATAAAAATAGAACACAATACAAATAAATAAATGTCAGATATTTGTAGTACATGCCCAAATACATAAAATCTAGGATATTGTATATTAAATCTACAAATAAAAAGAATCAATATGTCAATATCTCTACAATAGAAATAACTGTGTTATTTCATCGATCCAAGACAGTTATTCATGTCCCTGAGACATCCCTGGGACTTCAGTGTTCCGGTGTTTTCATGGTTGTATCTACTGTAGATTCTAGTTTACAGGAGTTGTAGCAATTTTGGGTAGGGGTGGTGGGCTTGTCCCATGAAAAAAACATAATTATAGTTATAAAAACTTATTGCTTTTCAAATCTCTGGTTTGAACCTAGGCTATACAAAATTACCACAGAGTCAGGAATTATGTTTCATGTATGGCAATAGGACATTTATCGAAGGCCACAGGCAGCTGCTAGATGCAAGTCGCTTTTAACTGGTCTATTTGGAAGTCTGGAGTCACTGGAGGAGGAGTATGGAGAATGACTAAAATTATGCTAATGATGATGACCTAGTATTTGTCCAGGCTTTGACTGTCCTTCAATTCCTTATGCTTTTTTTGTTTCAGTGACGAAGCCAACCATGGCTGAAACCCTGGATCCGTTGTCACCCACAGTGAACAGTTCAGGACGGAGTGAACTAGGCATCATGGATAAGCTGAGGTTGAGGATTGGAAGAGGTGGACCTGCTACCAGGCCGGCCAGTGAAGGTACATGGATGCATCTGTTTAGAAAAACAATAACACACATTTTATATGTGAGCAAAGACTCTTCATGGAACTTATGTCGGGTGAAAAATTAATGTTTAATTTGCTTTTACGCTGCTGTCTACTCCTTTGGGCATTAAGAGGTCTTATGCAGACTTCTTAAAGCAAATAGCAGTTCATAAAAGCGCTGAAAAAGGTAAAAGTACAATTATATGTATAGCTGTTATACCTTACATCACACCTTTTACCCCCGAAGGGGTGGGCAGAGGTGCACATTACGGCACTTAACGCCACTGTACAATGTAACACCCTCTTTTCACTATTTATTTTATGAGTCCCATGTAACAGGGGGTGAGCCTATTGCTATATATCGGGCACAATTCCAGACTCCGTGCTACTACTAAGATCTTTTTTAAAAACCCAGAATACTTTGCCCGACCCGGGAATTTAACCCGAAACTCCTTGCCCCGCAGTCGAACTTGCGACCACTCGGCCAACAAGGCAGTGTAATTATGTTATGGAAGAATGTACACTTCTACCTACCCCATTGGGGGTAAAAGGCGTGATGTAACGGTATGTTATGTTATGAACGTGTGTAAAAGTTGACTGATAACGATAGAGATAGCTTATGTTATGCAGTGACGTCATAAATGAACCCGACACCTTATGCTCACCAGTCGTACTAGAGGCGTAATCAAAGACCGACTTAAAATGGTATTTGTCGGACTTGTATCCGAAGTGACCTTGATGACAAAAGTCTCTGTTGCTTCATTCTACAGTCGAGTTCAAGTAGAGTGCCCTTGTAAAGGAGAGAGTGCACGATTTGCAAATATACAAAGTAGCATTTATTTCAATCTTTCGATTTTGTCTTTTGCATATTCGATTTTTTGGCTGCACTGACTGACTGTTGGTGCGGTGGCTGGGCAAACGGGTTCGATTCCCGCACGGAACAACACTGTGTGATCCACAAATCTGGATGGTCTGGGTGTTATTCTGTAGGTCTTGTATTTTTGTAAACGCACCCACGACACAAGAGAAAATCCTAATGTGGGGCAACGTTTAAAAAAAAAACTGGTCAGAATTGAAAAGATGTCGTCCTGCGGTTTCTGCCTACCCCATTAAATAGTCGTTGGTTCTATCACAATTAAATATCAAGTAGTTAAATAAATTAATGCATGCGGTATGATCCAGGATGCGGGCATAAAGAAGGGCCGGTAGGGATCTCATACCCTAGGGGTCCTGTGGACACATAACCTTTAACCAAAATATACGGGTTGTTTTATAGTTAAACCATAGACAGTCACTGGTTAAATTGGGATACAAAAATTCGAATCATACTATAAATAATAATATAGTCACATAACTCAGTTCTCCCAGTTGTGTAGTCTCTCTTTATGCATTAATTCATTTTGTCTCCTGCTGTAATTCGCCGAGGGAAGTGGAAACTATCGTCTTTTTTCTTCTCTTATTAATATCTTTTGATTAATTTCGTTGTGGGAACCAAGACTTGAGTTATTCATGTCTCTGGGACTCGCCAGACTTCAGTTTTCCGGTGTTTTCATGACTGTATCTACTGTGTATCCTAGCTGCAGCGGTTTTGGGAGTTTGTGGCGGGCTTGACCCATAAAAAAGAAAATAAAAAGCGCGTCGCATCAAGCTTCCTTGCGCATACCGCTAAAGAGTGGAATTCTTTGCCAGAGTCTGTATTTCGTGAAAGGTATAACCTGGGAGTCTTCAAGGCCCGAGTAAATAGGTTGCTTATGAGACGATTCTTATTTATATTATTGTCGCTACTTTCTGATAATAGTGCCAACCTTCGGTTACTGTGCATGTTGTGCATTAATTTTTTTTTATTATGTAAGTGCTTAGAAGTAAGACCTATTGTAACATTAACTGGTTGTCCAAATTATAAATGAATAAATAATAAACAATTTTGAGTAAACGAGCGTAGTTCCAATCCGTTTGGTTTTAAATTGGTGTGACTTGATGCATTGCATTGCATTGGGTTAAACTGTCAAACACCAAGCGGTCACCGGTGACCGCAACCTATTGTTCTATAATTGTGTCTACAAAACCGGTACTCGACGAGTTAAGACGCAAAATACCCCAATATGAAGATCGGCTGCAGAGATTCTCCTTGTTAACTTTGGAGCATAGAAGGTGGATGAGCGACTTATGTATCCTCCATAAAATTGTTCACAGTTCAATGGATAGTGGCCTAATTGAGTATTTAAATTTAAGAATACCGACTCGGTCTGTTCGTACTCCTCGAGTGTTTAATATTCCTTCTAGCAATAATAATGTCTCAGAAAACAATCCTCTATATAGAATGTGTAAAAACTATAATTCTATTTGCGCTCAAGTGGATATATTTCATGACAAACACAGTGCTTTTAAAAAATTCCTTCTGCGTCACAGCGACGCTCGATGAGCATGATATGTGTCGTTACGCCATTGTTTCAGGATTGTTGTTCACTCATTCAGTTGTTCCCTTTGTACCTTTGTTACCTTTGATTTCTTGTATGGCCTGTTTTTAGTAATTTTTAGTTTTCATAAATTGAACAAAATTTATTATAGTAAAATGGATTAACATTTGGGAATTGTTTATGTAATTTGATATAAATGGATTATGTACAGTTGTAATTGGACTTCAGGTTCGCTCACTATTTATAATTGAGATTGTTGTGTACGATTTCAATCTGTCGTCTGTATCTGTACTTATGTAAAATAAATAAATAAATAAATAAATTGTATCCGAAGGTCGATAAACAATGGCTGACTGGTCAGTGGCCAGTACTATCAGTCGTAGTTCAACTCTGATTAAGTGCACTTGCTTGGATATGAACGAAAAACGCTCCGAAGGTGATAATTTTAAAGTTGATTTATTTTTATTGATGAAGTTTTAAGTGTGTGTTAAAATGTAAAACAACTTTGGATTGTAGAGTTCACTTTATTGCTGAAATTAATTACTGATCTGAATATAAAATCTCTGTAAGGATTTTAAACAGAAATTCAATCTCAATACTTAATTAACTTTTTCGTTTAAAAAAATGACATCAACCCCAAGATTTTTTAAGTAAAACCGTCTACGAAGTGTATCAAACACTTTCCTGAAGACCGTATCAAAATCGGTTCAGCCAAACACGAGATGATAGCGCACAAATATAAAAACATACAGACATACATACGAGTCAAACTGACAACCTTCTTTTTTTGAAGTCAGGTAAATATTATTTATAAGAAACCCGTGAAATGTAGGTGTCTTCCTAAGGGCTTACCTGGATGTTATTTGTTATTATTGTTCAGGTGTAGACATCTTGTGGTTGAAATGATGTGGATCTTGTGAGTGATGATGTGGTTTTAACGCCTAAATATTCAATTTTCCAGGATATGTGGAGTTTGGTGAGTTCCGGACGGAGCGGCCTGGTATCAAGAAGGTGGGCACCTTCGCTGGTGTCTTCTGTCCAGTCGTGCTGTCCATGTTCAGTGCGCTGGTCTTCATACGAATGGGTGAGTTAAACTATCTCTTTTTAAAACTGATCCAATGACAACCAAATTTATTCGTGTTTTTATAATAACTATCGTGAGACATATTAAATTAACTATAATCGCTGGTTACTCAACGTCGTCGTCCCGCGACCGCGCACGCTGCTCATGAGGAAGAACCCCTCTGTGGTTCGAAACTAGTAGAGCTTTTCTCAGTATATTCACGTGAGTAACCCGTGATTTTAGTTAAATTTATTCGTATTATCTTAGTACAGTTTTTTTTTTAAATTATAAATGTCTGTGTGATAATTTAAAGAGACTAAATTATTTCGTGTTATGATGATAAACAATATATTTTTGAAAGCATTTATCTTATCTATAAATGTCTTTGTATTAATAAATGTGAAAGAAAGGCGAAAAAATATACTACCAATACTAAATTTTATTTTTTTAGCTGTATTATTAGTTTTAAAATAAAATATTACACATAATACATTAAATGTATTCAAATAAGTATTATATTTGTTATAGACATATAAAATAGGTATATAAGTTCGTGTTAACAACTATTTGAGCTGACTGTACCTACATTGATTTTATATCGTCATTTAGGTGGTTCCTTTGAAGTCCTTTGTTTTTTGTTTTCTGCGAATACTATCTGAATCAGCTCAATAATTTTTGAGATTATCGCGTACAAACAGACGTGGTCCGGGACTTTTTAATAAAATGACGTTAGACGACAGTGATAAAGACAACGTCAAATAAACGATATGAAAAATCTAATATTGTTTGAATTTACCTAACAGCTTTGTGATTTTTGATCAATGGTGTGTGTGTAAAAAGTATCAAAAATGTTAATCCTTACTAATATTATAAATCGGAAAATGAGTTTGTTTGTTTGTTCCGACATCACACCATAACAACTAAACCGATTGCTTTGTATTTTTGCAGATGTATAGTTAGAAGTCCGGATTAAATAATAGGGTACTTTTTATCCCGGAAAAATTTGATATTCCCGAGGGAAAACAAAAGTATTGGTATAGATGGCGCTGTGTGTATTGGTATATGTCACATTGGCTTTTTATCCTTTTGTGACGCGAGCGAAGCCGCGGGTAAAAGCTAGTA